AGTATTCCATGGTGTACATATCCCACAATTTATTGATCCATTCATGGATCGATGGGCTCTTGGGCTTCTTCCATGACCTAACAATTATGAATTGGGCTGCAATGAACATTATCTACAAATATCTTTGTTATAGTGTGATTTTTGGTCTTCTGGATATATACCTAATAGAGGAATTGTAGGATCAAATGGCAGGTCTATTTTTAGTTCTTTAAGTGTTCTCTAGATGTCTTTCCAACAGGAATGTATTAGTTTGCAATCCCACCAGCAGTGTAGAAGTGTTCCCTTTTCTCAACAACCACGCCAGCATCTGTGATTTTGGGATTTTGTAATATGGGCTAATCTTACTGGTGTTAGATGATATCTATCTCAAAGTAGTTTTGATTTGCATTTCTCTGATGATTAAGGATGGTGAGCATTTTTTCATATGTTTGTAGGCCATTCGTCTGTCTTCTTCAGAGAAGTTTCTCTTCAAGTCCCTTGCCCACCCTGAGAGGGGATCACTTGTTCTCTTCTTGCTAATACGTTTGAGTTCTCTGTGGATTCTGGTTATTAGACCTTTGTTGGAGACATAACCAGCAAATATCTCCTCCCATTCTGAGGGCTGTCTACTTGCTTTACTTACTGTGCTTTTGGCTGTGTAGAAGCTTTTTAATTTGATAGGGTCCCAGTAGTATAGTTTTGATGTTGCTTCAGTTGCCCAGAAGGTCCTCTTCACAAAATTTTCACCCAGGCCGATTTCTCCAAGTGTTTTCCCTACACTTTCTTCTAGTATTTTTATAGTTCCATGTCTTAAGTTTCAATCTTTAATCCAGTGAGAGTCAATCTTAGTTAGTGGTGAAAGGTGTGGATCCAGTTTCAGACTTTTGCAGGTCACCAGCCAGTTCGTCCAGCACCATTTGCTAAATAGGAAGTCTTTTCCCCAGTCAATGTTTTTAATTGGCTTGTCAAAGATCAAATAACGGTAAGTAGCTGGCTTCATCTCTTGGTTTCCTATTCTGTTCCATACATCTACCTCTCTGTTTTTGTGCCAGTACCATTCTGTTTTGATCACTATGGATTTATAGTATAATCTGATGTCTGGTAGTGTGATTCCTCCTTCTTTGTTTTTATTTCTGAGTAATGTCTTGGCTATTCAAGGTTTTTTATGATTCCATATAAAACAAAGTATTTTTTTTCAAGATCTTTAAAGTATGACAATGGAACTTTAATAGGGATTGCATTAAAATTATATATTGCTTTCAGCAGTATGGACATTTTAACAATGTTAATTCTTCCTAGCTATGAGCATAGTATGTTTTTCCATTTGTTAACATTTTCAGCTATTTCTTTCCTTAGAGTTTCATAGTTCTCTTTATAAAGATCTTTCACATCCTTTGTTAGGTAAACTCCCAGATATTTCTC